CCATCTTCTCTTGCTTTTGAACCCAGGGAATCTGACCCTAGCCTGCTCCTGCGCAGTGACTGCAGCCACGTCCTGTACAAAGGACAGCACTTCACACTCTTCCCGTCCAACACATGCCTCCCTCCACAATATTCCTCAACCCTTGTTAGGGGTGATACTGATGTCCTAGTTCGGACTGAGCACTCAACAGTAACTTAGTCTCAGCACTGTGATCAGCTATGTGTCTGCATTAGCAGACTGCAGAATGAAGGTACTCTGGCCAGCATTGAGGGCAGCACTAATCTAGTCGGTGAAGACATTTAAAAGCTTAGAAATTCTCAACACAACAATCTGTATCAGCCATGTCTTTGGGCAGGTGTTTGCCTGACACTCCCACAGAAGACGGTTATCTATTTCCTGTTCACCAATCCCTCAGGAGAGGAGCTTGACACTCTGCCTTGCTTGTTTGCAGTAGGATTTTATCCAGATGATGCTTACACTGAACAGAGACCTATATTTTCATGGCAAAATGCATCAACTTTGACGCTGGAGCCTTTGTTCCAGTGTGTACTATATTTAAATAAACATGACTAGGTCATGGACCTGCTCCCTGCAAATGTTTGACATCTTTCCACTTCTTTCTTCCATTTATCTGACTCATTTCAAAAATAATAATCATTGTTCTTTGCCCTTTTGTCCAGTTTGTTACACTGTCTCATGGTTTTTGTTTGTTTGTTTGTTTGTTTTTAAATTAGGGAAAATTAGTGCAATACATTAAGCCTCAGATTTTAAATGTTGACTGTAAACCTCTCCAAACTGATGATTCCTATGACAAAAGGAAGCTCTCACTTCAGAGCCACGGTGTCACCATTTATACTATATGACAAAACACCACATTTTTGGAAAGGGTCAGACTCAATGTTACTATGACCACTAAATTTCTGCCTTTTATGCATGTAAAATTTCAAGGATATTGGTTGCATTATAACACAAGGTTGTTCAGGAAAATCTCACTTGGGCACCAGGGTAGTCATTGCAAGTTCTCACTGAGGCCAACAGAAATGGTTGCCCTCACCACACAGTGACATAGACAGCCATCTATATGTGCTGCAAAATGTTATGAAATCGATTAGAATCTTATTTCTTTTCAGTGCTGTTATACTTCCAAACACACACACACAGTACACAGCACTGGGTATAAATACAAATAAAACATAAAGAGAAAACATAGGAAATCTCATAAATATACAGTATCCTGCCTTATCAATATTCATTTATGCATATCTCTGCACTCTCGCATTAATAAAAGCACATATATTGGATTTGAATGTGTGAGGGATGGGGTGGAAGCTGTAATCAAGATAGTCGGGCTCTCTTCTTCATGGGAAAGGATTACATTATCTCTCTCAGCCTATTATGTTTTCTGAAATTTCCAAATGTATGTTCTGGCCTCTTCAACTTTAGTCTTTTGCATTTAAGTAATGAGAAAGTTAAGTGCAATAAATGGATCACTCAAGGGCATTACAAAGAATGTTTGGATCTATTTAGAGCCTTTAACTTCAGAGCAAAGGCCTGGTTTAGTGTGACCTTAACGGATTCAAATTGTTTAGTTTCACTAAGGAGGCAGTATCTACTTCAGTGAATTAATGTGGAACTCACATCTGCAAGCAACTCCATTCCAGGGGGACTGCAAGACCCGGCTTCCAAACCCCTTCACACATATTTTTAAGAAAGTATTGCAGTTTAATGTCAATTAGTGAAAATCTGAAAAATGTGTGGTTTTCCAGCCATGTGTGTGTGAGTGTGTGTCTGTGTGTGTGTATATGCATGTGTCTGTCT